TTAGTTAAACTCCTATCGAGAATTAAAGTAATTGTGCACACTTGATGATATTTATTTTTTTAAAATGATTGATGAATGATTATTATTATTATTATTATTATTTTGTTTTAGGAGGTTCACGACATTATGAAAGAAACTGTATTTTTATCAATGGGTAGTAGTAATTATTCATTTGAAACGGGTGGTGAAATTGATGAGAATAAAACGTGCGAAGGAAACTTGATTTTAGTAGTTAATTCTGATAATTCCGCCGACAGTGATACAAACAAAGTTGAAACCTACAGTGAAACATCATTTTTAACTCACAGTGAATTTATAAAAGTTATGAGTGAATTAAAAGAATTACTGATAGCAGTTTGTGATTTTTCAAATGACGAATGTGCAAAACTCTTGACACCTTCGGTGAGAAATAAAAACGTTATCACGAAAGACAAAAGCGGAAGAGGAAGTGAAAAATTAATCGGAAACGGAAATTTAATTTCCGTTTTCGATAACGTTAGTGCGAAACAAATTTTTAAAATTTCTAAAATAATCGAAAATTTCACTTACGAATGTGAAAAAATCTCATCGAAATCTCCGACGTCATTGAAGGGAGCTTTTCAATACCAGGCGAATAAATTCATGAATAAATTTCACAACGAAAGAAAAGATAAATTATCGTACATTTTGGATAAGGAAACTTGGACTCCGGCTGAGGTCGAGCCGTCGTTACAAAATTTTTTGGACGATATCATAAGAACAAAAATCATATCTAGAACCACGTTCGATTATCCGGAATCGAAAAAATCCGAACTCTTCCTCACGATAAACGATGAGAAATATATAGTCGTCGGGTATGGTTGTCATTCCACCCCACCCCCGTTTTAATATTTTTGTAATAATAATAATAATAATAAAAAAATTCATTTCAGGGCCGCACTTTTTCTCATTCAAATGGTGAAAGATTATTCAATCATGGCGGAAGATTTATCGCTGTTAACATTTAACATAGTTCGAAATCTTGCCGAATTGTTACTCTTT